GGTTTATAGAGATCTCTGAGGTTTCACTAAGCTTTGCTCTCTCACTGTCCTTTCTATCTTCACAAGCTTAAAAGCTTTAGTCTTGTTTTTGTGTGTTTGTGTGTGTAGTTTTTGTTTAATTTCTTAGGAAGAAACAAGCTATGATAACTCAGGATGCTAACTTTGTGCCTGGTTGCACGTTTTGCCATTTTCAGTGTGTATTTGCAGAAGACACAGTGCTATGCCTGCAAGATGCATTCACCAGGAATTTTGGATTGCCTCCTCTCTAACGTATTAAGAATTCCCACATCAGCAAGATATTGTGCTAGACGGTGGAGATGCAGCTAAGCAAGCGACGTCTGCTTTACATAGAGGAGGCCGCACTGACATCACCGCTTGTGGAATCTTTAGCAAGGCTGAGAGAGAGAAATTTGCTCAAGACTCAAAAGGGGCTGGGATTGAAACTAGACAATCAGAGTCGACAATATGGCTAAACTGCAACTCAGCAGATTCCATCTGATGTGGTGCGCCATAACTCGGCACATGGACTCTGGAATTCTATCGTAGCAATCTAAAGTTGAATAAGCAGAATTTCTTGATACCTAACGTACATGTTTTGTACTCGTTTCATTTTGTGTAGTTAAGAGATTTTGAACAGAGAATGATGATCAGGGACAAAGAATCTGAGCGGTGCTGAGAAGAGAAGGTGCCTCACAGTTGATGCCAAGAGCTCCCGCCAAACCCTATTCTGGTTGTAACAGCCCGCGGATTTACATTTCACACCCCGAGGGCTAGAAACTTGGCTTTTTAAAAAAAGACGTGAGTCTCAGGATTGTGAAGGAGCTACAAGGTTTTATGTTAGAAGACAAATTCCAAGATCCAAGAGATCACAGCCAGGCGGACTCCTAGACACTCTGCCCAAAGGGCTAATCGTGTCTAGATGTTTCCAGTAAACTCAAGCTGTTGTTAAGTATGGAGATTAACAATGTGAGATCTGGTTTGGTCTGCACCTAGTGGCTGAATTTTGCTATGAAAGGAGAAAAGAACAAACTTTAGAGCGAGAGCAGGGTTCTATGCACATCATATCAGATCCTTAGAACTTTACACCACACCCCAAAAAGATCACAAGTACTTTTAATATGTTCTTTTAACTATAGGCACTGCAAAATCCATCTTGTATACCATACTAGTGCATGCACTTTCATTAAGCCTTCTGTCGCCTCATCCTATAGAATATATCTTTCTTGGAAGGCCTCAAAAAGTCTCCCCAGGTCACAGAAGCTGCCGTGGCAAGTACTTGGATAGGAGACTTCCTTGAAATACCAGCAGTTGGAAGGAGGGAGACATACTTTATTCAGCCACCTCTCTGAATATCCTCCAGGCCCCCAGTAGGGGTCAGTCACCAGAGGTCGCCATGACTTCCAGGTGCACACACGCTCTCACACACACGAAAAAAATACAAAACAAAAAATAAGAGGTCACAAAAATGTGGCAAATTAACGTTATGTAATTGATACCACTTCCCACAATGGACCTGTGGAACTGTAGGTGCTGAGTTCTCTCTTAATAGACAGCCATAGTACCATCACAGGGCCATGATTCCCAGAGTTCAAGGGAGGGGACAACCCATGGAATTTCAGCCAGTTTAAGAATGATGCATGGATGTGTCCTTAGAACAGCATAGCTAATGTAAGGGTAGTGGGGAAAATACTGTTCCTCAACCCTGCTATAAGGAAGAAAGTTCGGGAATTACCTTCACCATCATGAATGAAGGGACCATAAGAGATCATATGTGAAACCCTTTTTCAGCAGCCTAAGTCCCCTGCAGAAGTTGCTCTACTGTGCCATTCACGTGAAAGTGGAGGCCACCAGCTGTGTGTATTGGAAGCACATGGGTACCTACCATTCACCCAATGTAGACTTCACTCTAAAACCAAAGATAAACTATGTACAGGCAGTGGTTAGGTACCTGTGTCCTAAGATTGAATGCCTTGATGCTTAAAACCAAAATCCTTGTGCTCAGATTCTACAGCAAGGGCAGCAGCAATCTGTATAATTTATGTACATCAAGCATATCTGCTTATTTTGTACAACTATTTATCTAGCTAATCATGGAGAAAGAGTTAAGGCCTCACCACTGAAGCTCTGCCACCTGGAAATCCTATCTTTCTTAAAATGCAATTTATGCTGGCACTGTCAGAGCTGGATACCGGGTTAGATGGACCATTCACATTCCTGAGTGCTAGGAGATAGCTTTATAGATGGTTCATAGAGATCTCCTCTGAGATTGTATGATTACCATATGGTGTGAATTGGTCAACATATGGATTTTCCATGCAGGTGCAGCTTCCATTCTTACCCAGGGTTCCAATCTGCATGAATGGAAGCTCTACCCATATAGAAAATTAATGCATTGCCCAATTTATATGTTACACACAAATCACAATCCCGAAACAGCTGGCAAGTACAGAAGGCCACTGTAACATCTGCAGAGGGCTGTAGTCTTTTGTTTATCACATTTCTATTCATCTTTCCAAAGGTCTCAGGTATCATCCCATTTTATCCTTGCAGTAATCCTGTGAGGCAGGTTAGGTTGAGTGATTATGACTCGCCCAAGTTCAATCAGTGAGCTTCATGGCTTAGCTGGAATTTGAAGTTGCATCTCCTTGGTTCAACATTATATACTAAACTGCACTAGTTTCTACCCAGTACACCATACTTATTAAATAATCCATGGCCTTGAGCCCCTAACATATACAATAACCTTCCTTCTCCTCCCCTTACATGGTAAGATCCTGGTGCTTCATTATCTACAACATCTACTGTCAACAGCATAGCCAACCACTCATCTCTTGATTGTTTTCAACCCAACATTTATGGAACAAAGATTCTGACAGGCTCTGTTTTTCAGGCCACACACCTCCCCATATCAGGGCATTAATAGGGCAGCTCTTTGTTCAGAAGTAAGTCCAACTTCAGTGGGGCTTGCTCCCAGGTAAGCATGCATACGATTGCCACATGTGTCAGACTTAAGGAAATTTCTCCATTTACCAATCCTCATTCACAGAATCCCAAACAATACTTCTGATTTGTGGCTGAGGGCTCTTCCTCATAACTTTGGCTTTATTAAAGTCTATAATCCAGTGTTTCATGATGAGCAATCTTTGGATTTATTGGGTTATTTAATCAAGGAAACAGAACCACAGACAAAATAAACCCCGTACAGGGAAGTGAAAAATTAGACAAATGTGAATTACATAAAGGCATATTAATTGCTGTTGTTGTTTAATGGAAGTTGGTTAAATTGCCAGGCACACTTCTGAACAAAATTACAAGGTCAATAATTACATGGGATCTTATTATACAAAAGAACAGGGTCCAGTGGAACCATGTGGCCTCAAAAGCTAAACCATCCCATTATGATTCTCAGGGTTTAGCCGTGGAATGTATTTGCTGCCTAAGGGATAGGCAAGAGGTCACCTGTCATAGTAGCTGAAGTCATCGTGTTTACCCACGGAGCAATCGTACTCCACCCAGTAACAATCCCAATGACCCACATTCACCAACTCCCAGCCAACATATATCCCAGTCTTAACTTCAGAAAATGAAAGAAATACCCTCAAGGATCTGGTTGATGGACTATGGAGACCCCTATATTGTCTCTAGGTCAAGTGAGTCGTGACCCAGGAGAGCCTTATCATCCACTCCCAGTTTATAGCATCTTAAAGAAGGGCAATCTCAACTGCTACTGAATTGGCCAGTGCGGGAAGGTACCCTGCCTCCAATCCCAGAGCAGAAGGACCAGGTTGTCGTTTCTGAGCAGTGAGATACGGCACTCATCACATCACCAAAGCCATCTTCTCTCTCATCACTTGAAATGGTCCAGGTGGTGGAGGTGGAGAGCGCCATTAAGTCACAGCCAATTTATGGCAATCCCGTAGGGTTTTCACAAGACAAGAGATGAACAGAAGGGCCCCGCGTAGCAACCCTGGACTTCCTTGGTGGTCGCTCATCCAAGTACTAACCAAGGCCAACCCTGCCTAGCTTCCAAGATCAGATGGCATCAGTCTAGCCTGGGTCATGCAAGTCAGGGCAATTGTCTAAGACTGAGGGAAATAAAGGCAGGACTGGATCAAGACCAATTTGGGAGCTGCCATTGCTTCCTCTTTTTTTCTTTGCTGCATGCCCCCCTCATGCTCCTCTAGGTCCCCCGTGCCCCAGAAGCAGCATTTCACAGAGGTCAGAAGGCTGCAGTGGAAGGGAGTCAGCAGCAAAGTTCCGTTCCACCGACGGAAAATTTATTCTGGATCCAGACTGCAGTATAGATGCTAATGAGTAGATTTTCCCCCCCACTGCATGCAAAAGTGGAAAGCATGTGCTGGGAAGGCACAGCCAACAGGGACTTCCCAGTGCATACATACCCAACAACAAATGCAGCCACACTTTTTAAAAAGGAAAGCCCTGCCTGAAACTTACACTTCCCCATCTGGGAGGATTTCTCCTCAAATCTCAGGTGCGTGACCGCTGGCTAGGATTAGTCAGGAGTGAAATAAGGCGTTTTTGCACATGCTCAAGTCAGTCCTTTGTATGCCCTAAGGTTGAACCTCAGCATTGAAAACAGCTGCTAGGACTCTGTCCAGGTGAGCACTGGCTTGCATTAAACCCTGAAGGAGGCAGGGAAGTACTGCTGGGATTGGGTGGACTGGCCAGGTAAGCAGCGGCAGGAGGGAGTGGGAGCTGTGGTACAGCCCAGATCCTGAGGGCTCGCAGTAAGAAAAAACACATCCAGGTGCTTCAGACAAAGCATGGCTTTGCTCAACACATTAACGGGCAAAGTGCCCTCGATATGTTTGCCATTTCTAATTCACAAGCCATTCTAATTTGTCCCATGGAATGTTGTAAGAGACTTGCTGAGCTCCACTGAGGCTGCTTCACGGAAGGAAGAAGGAAGCAGTAAGTACTGGTTCAACAAGAGACAAGCTAGCTTGAGAAGACCCACATCCCTTGTGTCGTTGACTCACCTGTGAGCTGGTTGAAGCCCACCTGGCGCAGGGCGTGTGTGACATTTTTTGCATAGTTGAGAAGGATGAAGAGCGCATACTTGTCTTCATAATACTGGGCCCCTCGCACTATGCGCAAATTCTGCAGTGGCAGGTACGTGAAGACATTCATGGCAATCAAAACATAGCCAGTCACTTCTCGGATAGTCTGGGAAGAGTCAGAGGAAAATCAGAGACACCATCGCATCCACCCATTCATTACCAAATCACATAGCAAGTCACTTTACTAATGGCTCGTCACACAGTTCAAAACAGGCTGTAAGTGTTGGAACTCTGGGGCTTAACGCAAGAAGACGATCTGTGCTCCTTCCATGTAATGACCAGGTTTCGGCCCAGTCGATTCCTCATTTGGTTGCAAATTCTGCTACTAACATTCCCCAGAAGTGCCCTTGAAGAACACTTTGGTTCCTGACTGTTACTGCCATACAAATATTGCAAACACACAAAGAATACTTCAGTTAAGGGGCTGCATGAGGGAAACGATTATAGCAAACACCAGTAAGGAGTTGACGCCTCAAGCAGAGCGGCCATTTTTCTGTCTTGCTGGCTCAGACTCAATCCCTCCTCAGCCAGCCCTCCAAAGCTCATGCTTTGGGTGTTAATTTTTAAGGACTCTTCTCTTGTTTTTGCTTCGACAGACTAACACAGCCAATCCACTGGATGATGTTTATTTAATCCTCCTTTTCCTTGCTATCTGACTTTATAATTAGTAGCAACATCCTGTAGTCATCATGGGGTTCATAAATTAATTATGTATCAGCATTTGAATCAAGTTAGTTATCCAGGGACAAGACCTGAACCCTACAAGACATTCCTGTTTTCCCCTTTGAATGAGGAAGCATGTGAATCCCCCAAAAGTTCCACCATTATTTCAACTGAGGAACTGTTTGAGGGTGTGAAAATCTCCATGTGGGCTTGTTACCCACACAGGGTCAGCAACACGTCATCCATTCCCATACTGAACAGAAATGACCCTTGAGGGAGTATGAGTGGGCAGGGGAAAGGGTCAGCGTGACTTCAGAGATCATTCAATGAGCCAGTCGCATAACGGAAGTGGGGGGGAGAGTTAATTCTGGGTTCATTGAGTTGGCCCCATTGGCACAAACCCACTACATGATGACATGGATCCCACACACTGTGGGCAAGTTTGATCTAGACTGACGCATCACAGGGTGATTCGGACTTGCCGTTCCCTGCCTGGCAGCCATTCCTTTGAGAGAGGGGCACAGTCTGAAACTGTGAACTGAAGGAAGCTACCCCCAGCTCACACACGCTTGGCAAAGTGCAAGCCGTAGGCCTTACTCCTTCCCACGGGGCAAATTCCCTCGGATCCCAACATACCAATGGAAGCATCATTAAGCTGCAGTCTTGGCACTGAGCTTCTGCTCCCCACCTTCATATACAGGAAGCTGACAGCGCACATTTCTGAACCTTGGCTATCTGACAGGGCAGAGACTAGGTGCCATGTGTGCAGTCTACCTGCCTGCTGCCACAAAAGGCAAGCTGAGGCAGGGCCTTGTCTGACAGGAAACCTGGAAGCGGGTGAAAGAAGAAGAGAGAGGAAGCTTCCAGCACAAGTTCACTGCTTCAGTGAGGTACAGCGGGATCCAAGGAATCAGGGAGCACCTTAAACCCCGGCTACGTTGCCTGCTTGAAACCTCCAGCACCCACTCACTGGGACAGCTGGACTTCACTGCCCCTCACTCTGCCAGCCCTATGTCCTTGTGTGCATTTTGTATTGCTACTTCAGATATCGCAACCAAAGAAACTCAGATCCTCTGAGCAAACTAAATGATGCAAGGTAGGGCTGCAAGCCTACACATGTGTACTAAGACGTAAGATTCATTGCATTCAGTGGGGTTGGAGTCAAGATCCCAGAGCACCGGTACAACGATTTGCAAACTGACTTCAGACCACAGTTTTATGTTGAACGGCATGAAGGGAAGGAAGGGTAGAAGTTGTTCCGTACAGGGAGCATACATTCACAAAACTATATTTTGCGACTTTGTAAAACAAAGTTTGCGGGAAGCCAGGTTTATAAAGACAACCTGATTACCATTACCCCTTTCGCCACAGTGCAAATGTCCATTCTCTTTTCTACAATGAACACCCTGCTCCTTTCTTCTTGTTGCCCCAAAGAACAGGCACAGACGTAGGTGTGGTCTGAGCCATCCGGGGGCCCTGGGCAAAAGTTAAAGATAGAACCCCAAAATCAGTTAAAGATAGAACCGCCACCCACCCACCCATACACAACAATTAATCCCCTTCCTTTGTCTTTTTACCTGCAAGAAGGAGAGGTCCTGATTCTGTTCAATGAGGACAATCTCGAGATTGCCCATGACAATTTCGCAGTTGTTGTACATTTTATGGAGCGTCTGGTAGCTCTGAAGGGCATCGCCGGTCACACTGAGCCCGTTGAGAGTACCTGCACAGACTGGAACAAGAGATGGAAAAGAGGCACATGAATAATTTGGAAAGGCAAGTCAGTACTCAGGTTTCAGAAGAAAAAAGTCAAGCCTCGGGCCCCTTTGGGGGGGCAGGGTAAAAAAAACACACATTCATTTTGTTGTTCAGTCGCACAGTCGAGTCTGACTCTTTGCGACCCCATGGACCAGATCACGCCAGGCCTTCCTGTCTTCCGCCGTCCTCTGAAGTTTGCTCAATTTCATGTTCGTTGCATCTATGATACATTCATTAGATAAAGTTAAATACCCATCCCAAATGGGATCATCCATTTGTCATGGATAGACCCATGAAATCCTTTGTTTTTAAATTATTATTTGCTTGTTGTTTCTTTGATTGGATAACCTTTTGACTTGTGTTTTGTATTGATCTGCTGTTTTAAATTCCCCTCTGACTGCCAGGTACTTCTATCAACGGGGTGTAGGAGTCCTCTACAATTCTTCAGAAGAACAATACCTGTGAAAGGCGTTCATATCACTTCAGGCATTCACCTGGGCACATCCCTTAGAATCTTTGGCTTTTGTACCCAATGACATATTACAAACTGCTTTTCAACCTCTTCTTCCCCCAATCCATCCCAAACAATTTGCCCAAGCTGCTGCTTAAGAAATCCGAACTTCCTTTTGTATCCACACCTATAAATCTCACCCACCAAAAATCTAGAAAGGTTATCACTCTTGTTATCACTCATATTTGAATGCAAACCAAGAATCTCTTTTACAGTAGAACTCAAAATGTCAACATCTGAATTCCCTGGAAAACTAGGGGGGGACCAGGGAAATTATAGAAGCCAGGTTCTTCCAAGAATATGAAGCGTGGGTGTGTTTTTCTTTCTGAGTTTTAAAAATTGTACATTGTACAGATACTGAAAAACAAAGATCTTTTTAAAAGAAAGATATTACTGAACAACAAAACCAAAACACAAACTGAGCTGCCTACAATGGCTCTACTGGAAGATAACTGGGCAGTTCTGCCTGGTGTCACGTCTCCGGACAGAGAGGAAGTTAGCATGAAAAACACAGTCGCCATGGAGCCCTCTTCTCTGGCTGCTTGCCACTGGCTAATCTCACCCAGCCCTGAGTGGCATTTTGCCAGGCAAATGACGGACAGCCACAAGCACCACCTGTACACCCTGGCCCTCCCCTCTGAAAGTAAATAGGCCATCAGCTTCTCCACAGAGCCAAAGTGGCTCATAAGGACTTCTTTGTAAAAGGAAACAGCTTGCTCAACAAAAGCCTTTGAGGATGGCTGTCTACATTCTGGATCATCCCCCATATTGTGCTGTATTCTCTTCAAGAGGGATGACAAATCTAGTGTGGGTGCACTTGCCTTTTAACACCTATCAATAATAGTGATGACTGCACTGTTGTACTAATTTCCATCCTAGCAACTTAAGCTTCCATATTGTTCATTCTCTTGTATCCGTCAGCTAACAGTGCTGTCCTCAGCAGGGTTCCCCCCTTCTAAACCAGTGGGTTTAGAAAAGTATAACTCTGCTTAGGATGGCAAACTGTTAAGCTTCCTTAATTATGGGAGGCATTCCCACCAGAGAGCTAAAAGGTGATCACTGGAGAGAAAAGAAACACTAGAAAAGCAGCACCAAGAAAGGTAGAAAGGGACTCTTGCTCATGCACAACAGTTTACTGCATCTGGCAATTACAGTGGCAACGTAGCAACAGAAGAAGAGCCACGATGGACCAGACCAAAGGCCCATCGAGTCCAGCATCCTGTTCGCACGGTGGCCAGCCAGCTGCCTCTAGAAAGCCACAAGAAGAATGTCTGCAACAGCATCCTACCTCCCTCCCATGCTCCCCAGCAACTGATATAAAGAGGGATACCGTCTCTGGTACTGGAGGGACTAAAGATCCATAGGGCTGCCAAATGCAGCCGGGGGGCGGAGATTCCCCTGCTTCGGCGCCCCGATTCCCGGCGCGCCGGAATTGGGGCCCGGGGAAAACCCCACTCCCGCGTGTGCGTCACCGGAAGTGACGTCGCACGCTGGGGGCGGGGCCACGCCATTTGAGGGGAAAACTCTTTGTTTTCCCCTCAAATGGTGTGGCCCCGCCCAGCGTGTGACGTCACTTCCGGTGACGCTCCGGCGGCGTGCGCACGCACTAGGACAACTCCCGGACGGGAAGGAGCCTCCCCCACCGGTGAGTCAAATCGATTTGGCAACCCTAAAGATCCATCATGACTAGCAACCACCGAATCCCTGTCCCCCATGAATTTGTCCACTCCCATTTGAAAGCCTTCAAAGTCAGTGGCTATCACTGTATCCTATGGCTGTGATTTCCATAATTTAATTACGCACTGTGTGTAGAACTATGTCCTTTCATCATAAGAACATAAGAACATAAGACACGCCAATGTTGGATCAGACCAAAGGCCCATCCAGTCCAACACTCTGTGTCACACAGTGGCCAGAAATACCAGTGTCATCAGGAGGTCCACCAGTGGGGCCAGGACATTAGAAGCCCTCCCACTGTTGACCCCCCCCAAGCACCAAGAAGACAGAGCATCACTTGCCCCAGAGCCCCTATCTATACCTTGTGGCTAATATCCACTGATGGACCTCTGCTCCATCTGTCCTGAATCTCTCACCAGATTCAGTGGATCATTCCATGTTCTAGTATTATGGGAGAGGCTCTATCCACACCATGCATAATTTTATAGCCCGCTGTAATGTCTGCCCTTATTTGATTCTTTTCTAAGCCAAACAGCCCTAAACGTTTGGACCAGTTCTCATAGGGTAGCTGCTCTTTTCGGTTGCTCTTTTCAGCACCTTTTCAGGTTCTACAATATCCTTTTTCAAGAACAGTGACCAGAACTGTACACAGTATTAGAACAAAGTTTGAGTCCAGCAGCACCTTTAAGACCAACTAAGTTTTATTCAAGGTACAAACTTGCATGTGTAAGCACACTTCTTCAGGTATCTGAAGAAGTGTGCTTGCACAGGAAAGCTTACACCTTGAATAAAACTTAGTTGGTCTTAATTATTATCTATTTATTATTTATTAAATTAGATTTACTAGGCCACCCTTCCCTACAAGTAGGGCTCAGGGAGGCTTTAAAAGGTTTCCCTTGTTCGAAAGCCAGTCAAATCTGACTCTAGGGCACGGTGCTCATCTCCGTTTCCAAGCCAAAGAACCAGTGCTGTCCAAAGACATTTTCGTGGTCATGTGGCCGGCATGACTAGACACCGAGGCACACGGAACGCTGTTACCTTCCCACCAAAGCGGTACCGCTATTTATCTATTTGCAATTTCTTGCTCTTAAACTGCTAGGTTGGCAGGATCTGGGACCAGAGATGGGAGCTCACTCCGTCATGCAGCACTTGGGTCTTGAATAGCTGAACTACCGACCTTCCGGTCTGCAGTTCAGCGTCTTAACCACTGAGCAGGGTGGCTTACAACAGAGTAATATACAATAATTCTTTAAGTTAAAATCAAAATTAAAACCACCTAAAAAGATCTATAGATAAAAACAATATACATATACTAGAGGTCCCCTCAATTGAAAGAAAGTACCCCTAGTACACAGATGTTTCCACTGGCTTCCATCCTAAGCCTTGATTTTGCTTGACCAGCACTCTTTTCTGTTACGGAGCTGGTCCTCCACTGCAGCTCATGTTCCTTCAGCATTCCTTCAGTGTGGTAACTCTGGGAACCTTTATGCCCATTCATGCAAAGTGCCCATTTGCTTCTTCCCCAGAACACTTTTCCCCTCAAATTAAAGAGACAATCCTGTCTTTCCTTCACCTCACTAGAGCAGGAGATGATTCATAAGATCCCCAAAAACATCATCTTTGATCTGCAGGGAGTACCGATTCAGAAATGGCTGCCCCCATCACAGGAGGATGCTTGGTTTAAGACTCCCCCCTCCCTTTTTTTTTTTTTTTTTTTTGCAATTTCACCCCACTATAGACATTTTGTGGTGGTGCCCACTACTCTTCCTCAAAATTCCAAAACAGCCCACAGGCGGATCAAGTTTGGGGACCCCTGCAGCAGAGGACCCGCCTCCACAACAGACAAAGAGAGGCACCAATGGGGGGGAAAGGCTTAGGATCCAAGTTTAGGATCTCACGCTTGGTCAACTGCATTCTGTGCCATTTTTTTCTTTCTTTAGCTGAATACTCAGTATCATTTAACACAGATCAGTTAACTTCTTAGCTAAACATCATGTGATAAAATTATGAGAGTCAGATTTTTACTGTTCAGTTCACATTGATGAGCAGAGTCAAATCCATATTAGCAACTCTGCATGTGGAATAAGGAAACAACAGTTATTCTATATCAGTCCCACATAAAGAGGTGTGATCAGGGACGGGCACAGACCAGGAAAGCCCAGTTTGGTTTGGGGCTCACGAATTGGACAGCCCCAAACTGAACCTCCGAACCAACCCCCCTGCCTGAACTGAACTGGTTTGGGTCCCCCTGGCGCCATGTTCACATCACTTCCGAGTGGTGTTGAGTGTCACCTCTGGCGCGTCCACATTATCCAGATGTGACACAAGTGTGTCACCCCAACATCCTCACATCACTTCCAGATGATGCAGGCGCACCCGGGGCAGCATCCGATATGGCCCAGAAGTGATGTGGGCACATCGGGGGGCCAAACACCTGAACTGAACCGAGCAGAAGTTCAGTGAGTGTTCAGGGAAGGTTCCTTTTTCGGTTCAGAGTTTGCGAATGAGGCAAAGTCCAGCCCGGGCTTCGGCTTGGGTTCAGGTGTGTGCCCATCCCTAAGTGTGATCTTCAGCATTTGTGGCATTTGCATAGCAAACCTTGTTCACAAATCACAGTTTAGGGATACTCTGTTACTTGACCTGTGTGCAAACATTTGGTGAAGTAGGGTTGATATGTGAGAACCAGAAGAGGGAACCATGTAAACACAAAACCACAGTCCATTTTTTATTTTGGATTAAATAACACAGAATAAACCACTTCCTTGTTCTTTCTTGAAGGCAAACTA